TCAAGAGATGTCGTAGTACTCAGGAATGTCATAGTACACAAAGAATGCCATAGTAATCAAAGAATAGCCATAGTACTCAAGGGATACCCATATTACTGAAAGATAACCCATAGTACTGAAAATACCATAGTACTCAAAGATGCCATAGTACTCAAAAACCATAATGCCAAAATGCCATAGTACTCAAAATGTCACCAGTACTCATACCTCTCAAAATGCCATAGTACTCAAAGCCATAGTACTCAAGAATATCACTAGTACTCAAAATGCCATAGTACTCAAAATGCCATAGTACTCAAGAGATGTCGCAAATACTCAAAATGCCATAGTACTCAAAGGATGCCATATTCAAGGGTGTCATAGTACTCAAGAAATGCCATAAATGCCAAGTGTCCATAGTACTCAAGGTACCATAAACCCATTTGCACCATTACTCAAAAATTGCCATACTCAAAGTTGCCATAGCTTCAAAGTTGTCATAGTACTCATTGCCATAATACTCAGTACCATAGACTCAAAGTTGCCATAGTACTAAAATTGCCATAGTACTCATTTGCCATAGTACTCAGGCTTCAAACATCATTAAACAAATATATTACGCTGTTAGCGGCACTGCATCACGTGACTCTGGCATCCTGAAGGAGAAAACCCCGGCGATAACGAGCCAATCAGGGCAGCCGTAGCAAATTTGAGGCTCAGGTGCTAGAGTCGTGGTGATAGCATGTCGGTTTAAACCTGAACAAAATAATAACACAAGCCACGTAGCTTTCTACCTAATTACTTGGGTTGTCTTCTTCCGGTCGAGAAAATGTTACTATCCCATCACGTGTGTGAGACACCTGTCAGTGTTTATTGTAACGTCTCGTGTGGTTTGGTTTGGTGGCTCTCTCTCTCTCTCTCCTCTCTCTCTCTCTCTCTCTCTCTCTCTCTCTCTCTCTCTCTCTCTCTCTCTCTCTCTCATCACTGTTTTATACGTGTTTTAACCTGTACAGTCATTAGCGTGTAGTAATATGTTGTGTTATTTTTGCAACCTAAGGCAGCCTACGTGAGTCATCGTGGCAGTACGCTGAACTTCTGCAACCGGCACCTCCTTCCCGGGCAGGCCAGACCCTACAGGCCAACTCGACCAGACTTGACCCTGTAGAACCGGTCTTTCCTGAGAGGCAGACCCTCACAGGGCTAACCTGAAAGCTAGAAACCCTGCAGGGCAGCCTTCCTCCTTCCCCGAGGCAGTCAGTCTATCAGCCAACCCCACCTCCTCCCCGATGTTTCAGACCCTTGCAGGTCGGTCCCAGACAACCAGCCCTGCAGGACGGCTTAACCCCTAAAATCGACCCTACACCTACCTGGGGTGGCTGGACACTAGCAGGTCGGCAGACAGGCTGAGCCCCTGCAGGCCGCCCCCTTCTCCACCCCCAGTGAGCTGCTCACCATGAACTCCCCAGCCCCGCACAAGCCAGGTAAACCATGGCTCCTATATCTCTGTGTCCACCTGTTGTCCTGTTGTCCTGCACTACCTGTTGTCCTGTACCAGCTGTTGTCCTGCACCACCTGTTGTCCTGCACCACCTGTTGTCCTGCACCACCTGTTGTCCTGTACCCACCTGTTGTCCTGCACCAGCTGTTGTCCTGCACCAGCTGTTGTCCTGCACCACCTGTTGTCCTGTACCACCTGTTGTCCTGCACCACCTGTTGTCCTGTACCACCTGTTGTCCTGCACCACCTGTTGTCCTGGCACTACCGTTGTCTGCACCACCTGTTGTCCTGCACCACCTGTTGTCCTGCACCACCTGTTGTCCTGCACCGTTGTCCTGCACCACCTGTTGTCCTGCACCACCTGTCCTGCACCACCTGTTGCCTGTACCACCTGTTGTCCTGCACCACCTGTTGTCCTGCACCACCTGTTGTCCTGCACCAGCTGTTGTCCTGCACCACGCTGTTGTCCTGCACCAGTTGTTGTCCTGCACCAGCTGTCCTGCACCACCTGTTGTCCTGTACCACCTGTTGTCCTGCACCACCTGTTGTCCTGCACCACCTGTTGTCCTGCACCACCTGTTGTCCTGCACCAGCTGTTGTCCTGCACCACCTGTTGTCCTGCACCACCTGTTGTCCTGCACCACCTGTTGTCCTGTACCAGCTGTTGTCCTGCACCACCTGTTGTCCTGCACCAGCTGTCCTGCACCACCTGTTGTCCTGTACCACCTGTTGTCCTGCACCACCTGTTGTCCTGTACCACCTGTTGCCTGCACCACCTGTTGTCCTGTACCACCTGTTGTCCTGCACCACCTGTTGTCCTGTACCACCTGTTGTCCTGCACCACCTGTTGTCCTGCATACCACCTGTTGTCCTGCACCACTGTTGTCCTGCACCACCTGTTGTCCTGTACCACCTGTTGTCCTGTACCAGTTGTTGTCCTGTACCACCTGTTGTCCTGCACCACCTGTTGTCCTGCACCACCTGTTGTCCTGCACCACCTGTTGTCCTGCACCACCTGTTGTCCTGTACCACCTGTTGTCCTGTACCACCTGTTGTCCTGCACCACCTGTTGTCCTGCACCACCTGTTGTCCTGCACCACCGTTGTCCTGCACCACCTGTTGTCCTGCACCACCTGTTGTCCTGCACCAGCTGTTGTCCTGCACCACCTGTTGTCCTGCACCACCTGTTGTCCTGCACCACCTGTTGTCCTGTACCACCTGTTGTCCTGTACCACCCAGCCTTTCCTGCACCACCTGTTGTCCTGCACCAGCTGTTGTCCTGCACCACCTGTTGTCCTGCACCACCTGTTGTCCTGTACCACCTGTTGTCCTGCACCACCTGTTGTCCTGCACCACCTGTTGTCCTGCACCACCTGTTGTCCTGTACCACCTGTTGTCCTGTACCTGCTGTTGTCCTGTACCACCTTGTTACAGCACCAGTTGTTGTCCTGCACCAGCTGCTGTCCTGTACCACCTGTTGTCCTGTACCACCTGTTGTCCTGCACCACCTGTTGTCCTGTACCACCTGTTGTCCTGCACCAGCTGTTGTCCTGTACCACCTGTTGTCCTGCACCACCTGTTGTCCTGTACCACCTGTTGTCCTGCACCACCTGTTGTCCTGCACCACCTGTTGTCCTGCACCACCCTTGTCCTGCACCACCTGTTGTCCTGCACCACCTGTTGTCTTGTACCACCTGGTTGTCCTGCACCACCTGTTGTCCTGCACCACCTGTTGTCCTGTACCAGCTGTTGTCCTGCACCACCTGTTGTCCTGCACCACCTGTTGTCCTGCACCACCTGTTGTCCTGCACCACCTGTTGTCCTGGTACCACCTGTTGTCCTGTACCACCTGTTGTCCTGTACCACCTGTTGTCCTGCACCACCTGTTGTCCTGCACCACCTGTTGTCCTGCACCACCTGTTGTCCTGCACCACCTGTTGTCCTGTACTACCTGTTGTCCTGCACCACCTGTTGTCCTGTACCACCTGTGTCTTGCACTACCTGTTGTCCTGCACCAGCTGTTGTCCTGCACTACATGTTGTCCTGCACCACCTGTTATCCTGCACCACCTGTTGTCCTGCACCACCTGTTGTTTACATTCACCAGGTGCTGTTCCGCACCACCTGTTGTTCTGCACCACCTGTTCTTACATTCACCAGGTGTTGTCCTGCACCACCTGTTGTCCCTGAACCTCCTGTTGTTTACATTCACCAGGTGTTGTCCTGCACCAGTTGTTGTCTTGCACCACCTGTTGTCCTGTACCACCTGTGTCCTGTACCACCTGTTGTCCTGCACCACCTGTTGTCCTGCACCACCTGTTGTTTACATTCACCAGGTGTTGTCCTGCACCACCTATTGTTTACATTCACCAGGTGGTCCTGCACCACCTGTTGTTCTGCACCACCTGTTGCTTTACATTCACCAGGTGTTGTCCTGCACCACCAGCTGTTCTGCACCACCTGTTGTTCTGCACCACCTATTGCTTACATTCACCAGGTGTTGTCCTGCACCACCTGTTGTCCTGCACCACCTGTTGTTCGCACCACCTGTTGTTCTGCACCACCTGTTCTTACATTCACCAGGTGTCCTGCACCAGTTGTCCTGCACCACCTGTTGTCCTGCACCACCTGTTCTTACATTCACCAGGTGTTGTCCCTGCACCACCTGTTGTTTACATTCACCAGGTGTTGTCATGCACCACCTGTTCTTTACATTCACCAGGTGTTGTCCTGCACCACCTGCTTGTCATGCACCACCTGTTGTTCTGCACCACCTGTTCTTACATTCACCAGGTGTCCTGCACCCTTCACCACAGTGTCCTGCATCACCTGTTGTTCGCACCACCTGTTGTTCTGCACCACCTGTTGTCCTGCACCACCTGTTCTTTACATTCACCAGGTGCTGTCCCACCACCTGCGTCCTGCACCACCTGTTGTTCTGCACCACCTGTTGTTCTGCACCACGTTGTTCTGCACCACCTGTTCTTTACATTCACCAGGTGTTGTCCTGCACCACCTGTTGTCCTGCACCACCAGTTGTTCTGCACCACCTGGCTGTTCTGCACCACCTGTTGTTCTGCACCACCGTTGTTCTGCACCACCGTTCTTACATTCACCAGGTGTTGTCCCGCACCACCTGTTGTCCTGCACCACCTGTTGTTCTGCACCACCTGTTGTTCTGCACCACCTATTGTTTACATTCACCAGGTGTTGTCCTGCACCACTTGTTGTCCTGCACCACTGGTTTCCTTTACATTCACCAGGTGTTGTCCTGCACCACCTGTTGTTCTCTGCACCACCTGTTCTTACATTCACCAGGTGTTGTCCTGCACCACCTGTTGTTCTGCACCACCTGTTGTTCTGCACCACCTATTGTTTACATTCACCAGGTGTTGTCCTGCACCACCTGTTCTGCAAACCTGTTGTTCTGCACCACCTGTTGTTTACATTCACCAGGTTGTCCTGCACCACCTGTTGTTCTGCACCACCTGTTCTTTACATTCACCAGGTGTTGTCCTACACCTCCTGTTGTCCTGCACCAGCTGTTGTTCTGCACCAGCTGTTGTCCTGCACCACCTGTTGTTTACATTCACCAGGTGTTGTTAACATTCACTAGGTGTTGTTAACATTCACTAGGTGTT